ACATAGATGAAAGTGAAAGGTGTGAGTTTAATTGTTAGGTGGAGAAAGAATATCCTCATGAAATTTTGATTTTCAAGCTTGATTGGTTGTTGAGTCGCTATTAGCGGAGAGTGTAAACTTGGCCGAATTGCCATATACCCAATCGTAATTGTATAGCTTGAAAACGGACTGGGCCAAAAACTACTAAAGTACTCCCCATAAATCAGAGCAGTGCGAAACTGTAAACTGTGTAGAGGTTGTCTGTGTGTATGTCTGCATTTGTCCGCATATTCCGACATCCAAACTTACGAAAGCTATAAAGCTGAAGTCTTGGCAGCTTAGTCCACCACTACGAATAGGATCACTGGACGCAGAAGTTCACGTTACACTACTTCTTGCTTTTTAGCACGTAAAAGCTTTGAAAACATTGTAGCCTAAAACCAAACTAGCTATAGTGTTGGAAATTTGATTTTTGCTTTTTTTTTAAATTTGAATTTAGATGGTTTGTGATTATGAAAGATTGTAAAAAGATAAAAATGAAAATATGAATAAAATATAATTAAAATTTAACTAATTAGAGAATTTTGATTTTTTTTTGCAAGTTGACCGAAAAATTCAGTAACCTCTTCGACGAGATCCTCGAGCGTTACAAGCCCTTGCACAATATAGTCGCGTTTTTCATCATCATACTTAATCACCATTGCGATTCGAATTCCACTCTTCATCTCAATTAGTAGTTGTAGCACTGACATACCACCAACAACAAATCGGAACTGAGTGCTGCGCTGCCAAAGCTGCACGATTGTACTCACTTTCAATCTACTCGTTTGACAAAACGGCAGTAGATCTTTCATATTCAAGACAGCTATGATCTGAAACAGGCATTTTTAGTAAGCCTAATTCTTTGGCCAACGCTTGTATTCTTCGTCGCAATAATCTTCAGATGAGTAGCATCTAGATTATTGCAATAGGAACAAGGTGCTAACAAGGAAACGAAGCGGTCGGCCAAACCCCTTCGCCTTGCTCAATTGCCCTTCGATTCCATGTGTTATGCAAATACCCCGTCTCTTGAGTCGAGTTTCCCCTCCGTGATATTTAACGTGGTGATTAGAAATGAAAAGGGGATTGTTCTTTGTGTCTCA